CAAACACTTTTACGTATCTTATTAGTTAAATAATGAGACTGTTAACATGCCTAATAATTGAATCTGAGGAAATGTGAAAAAACAGCATAACTTCCCTAAAAATGACCCGATCATGCTGATTTTCGAACTTGACCTGCGTATTAGGAATATTCATCAGTTTTGTAAGTTTCAAGCCAAAAAGTAAAATGATTTTCCACTTATCGTGTTATCGGTGCTGCATATATGCTGAAAAAAGTGAAAAAACAGCATAACTTCCCTAAAAATGGCCCGATCATGCTGATTTTCGAACTTGACCTGCGTATTAGGAATATTCACCAGTTCTGTAAGTTTCAAGCCAAAAGCAAAAACAGTGTTCCACTTATCGTGTTATCGGTAAAAGTGCACGACGGCGACGACAGACGCAGATGATGGCTATATGTACAGACACATCTGTGTCTGTACATAAAAAGTGATACACAGTACTGTTAGCTTGACATTAAGTGTGAAATTTTCAGAAAATGGAAATATTTCCATTCAGGAACTAAATATTGTGTCTACTCTATGAAAGGAAAGAATCAACATACATTTTGGACCATTCAAAACATTTTTTTCGGTGGACTGCAGAATTATAACAGACAGAAACTTTTGGTTTGAAGTTATTTCATGAAATTCAAGCCCTGAGGCTGAAGTAGAAAGTTTTCATGTTTCTAATCATGTGAGTAGATAGGGCCTTGCAATCCAGGTGTGAAATACTTCAACCCGACCACAAAACATTGTGCACAGGGCAATGGAATTTGTTGTGTGATGAAAAAAGGTGATAAGATTATATACATGACAGGAAGATAAACTAGTTGAATAGTCCTTTCAGAAAAGGAAAAAAGAAATAGCAGTTGGAGAGATTGTCTTTTTTAATACAAATCATTAAGTCCAAACACTCTTGATAAATGAATGGTGGTTATTGAATATGCTATCTGTGATATTTAACACGTACTATGTACATCTTACCTGACAGAGAAGTAGAGGATCAGTTGTGTTTTAACTTACCTGACAGAGAAGAAGAGGATCAGTTGTGTTTTAGCTTACCTGACAGAGAAGTAGAGGATCAGTTGTGTTTTAGCTTACCTGACAGAGAAGTAGAGGATCAGTTGTGTTTTAACTTACCTGACAGAGAAGTAGAGGATCAGCGTCCCCGTGGACTGTTTCTTTGGGAAATCATGTTCCAACACCTTCCTGTCCAACTGTAACCAGGTGAAGTGGTTTCTAAAAAGATGGGAGAAAAACACATAAAAGTATTATTCTATTAAGTCCATTCATAGACACCAAATATATGCAATGTAATACATTTCATCCCTTTCATTCGAAGATACTTGATTATTGAAGATTTTACCCAAATTTATAAATTGTACATTGAATAAAAACAACTCAATAAATGAGCATTGAGTTTACTGCTATGTCATTCTTTTAGAAAATCTGATAGAGTTGTGGTAACTTACCACAGGCAATGCCATACTAATGAACACAACACAAGCTTTTTGCTATCAGAAACACAAACCTTTATGGAAGCAATCTACTGTTTCAAAACACTGTGAATATTGATGTCAAACCAGACAAAGAAAAGCCTTTCAGTATCAAATCTATCTTAATTAAATCAATATCAATTTTCATATAACTCTGTAATCTTTCGGTGATTATTCTTATTACGTCTTTTATGCTTTGGTTCACTTTGCAATCAAGTCCGTTTCAACTCCCAGACATCATTTAATCGTTCCCTTAAGACCTGTACACTAATAACACACCTAGGGCAGCCGTAATTAACAGGCAAAAACCTCCATAATTTTATCAATCCCCAAAGACCTTCATGCTAATAATTTTCCTAAAGCATCTTTAATTAAAAGACAGCATCAATTACCTAATAAATCATTGGACCCTAATGCACAATAGTATGTGGTAATCAAGATCAGTTTCACTTTCACTTTATCAGGCATTTCCTACAAGTTCCAATGAGGTAAGCTTATGAGTAACTGTGACTGGCCTCTGCAACTTGGTGACTAATCCATGCTGCTGTCAACTTTTATCAAAGTGCTTTAACTTGACAAAAGTGCCATTGTAATGACGAGTATCATTATACACACTCAAGTTAATTTTTGATGCAATGATTACGTATCATTAATCTCTTATGATGTATTTTTGAATGTCCTGTTACAGTGAGTTCATTGCAAAAAAAGAGCAATCTCTGCTTCCCAGTTCCTTTATTTCAATACAAAAACAAAACAAAAAGTAAATGAATAAACAATTATTTACCTCAGAATGGCATCTCATTATATTATTGCTTACACGAAAATAAAGATGCTATTTTTTTCCTTCAATAAAATGATGTGACAAGTACTCAAATGTTGCCCCACACAAGTAAGTGCTCCAACTCACACTATATTGATACTTTCTATAAATGGACATTTTAAAGCACTATGACACCTCTATCAGGACAATACAGGTATGGTTTACTGGCCAGGGGGTCCTCATTCTCCACAGAAACCACAAACACAGAGTGGTGTCTTATCTAGTGCTCTTTCTTTGTATAGTTGTAATAAATACACGCGCTGTGGTTGAAAATGACAACTTTCAGTTCTGTTGAGAGGATCAAGGGTCAAAGCAAAGATGGTGCATTTCGCTGTGTGTGTGCATGTGCCCACGCACGCATATATAAGTGCATCTGTCTGTGAGCACACATGAGCAAGTGTGTGTGTGTGTGTATGTGTGTGTGTGTGTCCAAGCATGTTATACCCATAAATGTGCGTAAGTGTGCTTTCATATGCTAAATATCTATATGGCACATGTATAGAATGACAAGTTACTAGTAACAGATGGTATCAAGTGTCTTTTCGCCTCAGTCAAAATAGTGTCATTTATGTTTAATACATCTCAATAAATCAACAATAAATCTCCATCTAAGCTGGACAATCACATTTCCCACTACTGCCATTGTGCTACCCAACACTCCAGGCCATTTAATTAATTTTCAATGTCCATACAGAGCACTCTCTTCTCTCCACTAATTTCCAAACATAACATGCTCTCTCAACTCCGTTAATTGCACTCACTCCACTGTACATCGCCCAATAGAACTCCCATGCTTTAAAAACATGCACACAATTACAGAGACACCACTGATGTTGATGGACAAGTCGGAGGAGACTATAATGTATTTTTCCTGTTCTGGTTTGAAGTTACTTGCTCCTCCCACATGGCGGCACAATAAAAATCTTTGATCTTGAAACACAGTCAAGGTCAAACGGGGGATATAGGAAATTGTTGCACTACTTTTTATCTTTCTAACCTTTAGAATATTGGATTTTACACATTGGGTGGAGGAAACGTAGTGTTTCAACATTTCCTGTTTCTCACTGCCTGCTTTTAATCTTGACTTGTGACTTGCATATAGTTTAGCAAAACCACTATGCATAAAAAAAATTGTAGCTCATCTTTTCTAGTATCTCTGCTGTAAATTAAAAGATTCTGTCAAAATAAAAATAAAGACTGTGTGTGTGTGTGTGTGTGTGTGTGTGTGTGTG